CGTTTTTCCAGCCAAAGCGCTGCTGCTCTAGGACACCCTGGCAGAGGTTTTTTTTTTTCAGCCACTAAACTCTCCTGCCACAAACTGCTGCTAAAATCCTACAGTTGTGACCAAAATTATTCAACCCCCACTGAAATTGAGTGTTTTGGCCAGTTTGACATTGCTTTTGATCATTCAGTCATCTTGCTTACATTTACATTAAAGAGGCACTTGTAGGTCAGACAAATATAACATAACAGTTATAATGAAATAACCACAAATGTCTTTTCTGTGCTCACAGCATTATCAGTTTTATTCAACCCCCAAGTGACATTCAATCTTAGTACTTAGTACAGCATCCTTTTACAGTTATAACAGCTTTTAAACGTGAAGCATAGCTTGACACAAGTGTCTTGCAGCGATCTACGGGTATCTTCGCCCATTCTTCATGGGCAAAGGCCTCCAGTTCAGTCACATTCTTAGGCTTGCGCACTGCAACTGCTTTCTTTAAGTCCCACCAGAGGTTCTCAATCGGATTTAAGTCTGGTGACTGCGATGGCCACTCCAAAATGTTCCAGCCTTTCCTCTGCAACCATGCTCTAGTGGACTTGGAGGTATGCTTGGGATCATTGTCCTGTTGAAAGGTCCAACGTCTCCCAAGCCTCAGGTGTGTGACGGACTGCATCACGTTTCCATCCAATATCTCCTGGTACTGAAGAGAATTCATGGTACCTTGCACACGCTGAAGCTTCCCTGTACCTGCAGAAGCAAAACAGCCCCAAAGCATGATTGACCCTCCACCATGCTTCACAGTAGGCAAGGTGTTCTTTTCATCATAGGCCTTGTTCTTCCTCCTCCAAACATAGCGTTGATCCATGGGCCCAAACAGTTCTAATTTTGTTTCATCAGTCCACAGAACACTATCCCACAACTTTTGTGGTTTGTCCACATGGCTTTTGGCATACTGCAGTCGACTCTTCTTATTCTTTGGAGACAGCAAGGGGGTACGCCTGGGAGTTCTGGCACGGAGGCCTTCATTACGCAGTGTGCGTCTTATTGTCTGGGCTGAAACTTCTGTACCCACATCTGACAAATCTTTTCTCAGTTCCTCAGCAGTCACACGGGGACTTCTCTCCACTCTACGCTTCAGGTAGCGCACAGCAGTCGAAGTCAGCATCTTCTTTCTGCCACGACCAGGTAGCGTTTCAACAGTGCCCTTTGCCTTGAATTTGCGAATGATGCTTCCTAAGGTGTCTCTTGGTATGTTTAACATCTTTGCAATCTTCTTATAGCCATTGCCCTTCCTGTGAAGAGAAATCACCTCTTCTCTTGTCTTCCTGGACCATTCTCTTGCCTTCACCATGTTTGTAACCACACCAGTAAATGTCTAGAAGGAGCTGAGTATCACAGTCATTTTAAAGCTGCCTAATTGGTGCTTATTATGCTTGATTGCTGCTCGGTGACATCCACAGGTGTTTTCAATACCTGATGGAAAGCACCTGTATGAACCTCTGTTCTTCAGAGTGGTAGTCTTTAAGGGGTTGAATAATTGTGGCAATGAAGAAACCACATAAGAACCATTTACTACTGTATTACATAAACAATTGATGTCATTTTAGTTGCATTTGGGTAGTTACAACGTCCTTGTAGGATTTGATTCTGAATACAATTCCAAATGTACACTATAGTCCCTAAACCCCTTTACAGCATTGGGGGTTGAATAATTTTGGTCACAACTGTATATGTGTATGAACACATAGGATGACATGCTTTGGGGTTTAAAGGCAGTAAAAAAAAGCCTGATGTCCCTAGGAGCAGCTGTAAAATCGTCCAGTGTGCATGAAGCTATAAAGTTGCTAATATGTTTTTAATGGGATGTCAGTTAAGGCACACATACATGTATCAACCAAACTAATCAGAGCTGGGCATTCTTTACATGATTTATATGCAAGAATGTAAATGTAGAGAGTTGTCCTGTTATTTTTGCTTTACTTAGATAATAACTGGAGCCTAAGCTGGCCAAACACTAATAGATTTATTTCTACGAACATTCCCCATACATGCAATGATTTGGCAAATATCATTCAAAGATACTTAAACATTTTGTTTGCTTTTAACATTTGATTGAAATGGACTGAAATACACATTCACTGTTAGAATTAAATTGTTAGAGAAAAATGTTTCATCCTAAATCTTCAAATTGTTTCTTAACTTTGGTCAAAAATGATGGTTGATTTGACTCCATTAACCATTAGAAAACTGAACGCACATAATTAAAATGAAAAATGTGGCTAATATGGCTAACTTAAGAGTCAGAGAAGCGGAGCCCCCTAAGGACAGGATGCCACTTCCCTATTATACTGATAATACCTACAATCTTCTAGAACTCCTTAGCTGTTTATGTTTCTCATAGCTATAGTATCATATGCTGCTTTTTGATACTACTGTGTACACTCAGGAGCTTGAAGACAAGATATGCTATCAGTCTAATGTTAGGCTGGCCATACATTAAGCAATTTTTTTTCCTTCAACCACAGGTTGAAGTTAAGAAAATTGCTTCATACCCCCATTAACACATTCAGTGTTGAGGGGGGAATCCCTGCTGATGTGTTATTGTATTCTGATAGCATGAGGCTGTCAGAATACAATGATCACTGCTGCTGGCTATAGCCAATGGCAGTAATCATATGAAGAAAACCCAACAGGCTGGTTGTACTGAAGCTGGTTAATTCTGAATCTGCAAAATTTCAATCCATCTGTGGCTGGCTTTAGACAGTTAAAGAATATGAAAACCCAGAAAGCCTGATATGTGCCTGATATGTGCCTGCTGTACCATGTACTTGTATGAAAAAATATCTAGTTCTCTTTGTATTGGTTCCTTTGTGTGAAATCCCTGGTGTTCCTTCCAGTCTCACTGCTTTACTATTAAAAACTGACCACACTAAGCAGGAGAACACAGCGAGGTCAGTTCTGTAGCTTTGCTGGGAACTCAGATTGCTTTCCTCCAATGATCAGACTTGTCCTGACACACCCCCGCATAACGTTTCACTGAAAAGATCAGTGTCCTGCTGTTTCTGCTCCACAGCACTTATGCAGCTAAGAAAGACGGTATGTGATCACTTATAAAAAGGGTTCATAGTGTTTTTTTTATATCTATGTACAAATGTTTTGCCTTTCATTTCTATTTTAAACTGAATGGGTTGTTTTACAAAAGCGGGGTTTACATACACTTTGAACAGGGATGTCTGACCTCAGATGACCTTTTATAGCATTTTTTTTTTCAAATGTCTTCTTTCTTATTTTATATTCTAAACGCTATAAGGACAGAAATTGCACTAATGCCTGGCAAACATATGTTTTCTAAGCAAGTCCTAATCCTGCTTTTTTCTTCTCCTCTAATTTAGTAAGTAAGGGCCCTTTGTTTCAACAAGCCTCAACTAAAAACTGGAATTACTCACAATCCCACAATCAGCATCATATCTACCCCAAGCATTTGAATCTTATTGGTGGTTGTGGGAAAAAAACTCTTCTTAGTAAGAACACATTGATACATAATGCTCTCATGTATCATTATAGCAAATTCTGCAAAGATTCGTAGAGTTTGTGTGTCCAGTCCATAGTCTAATGTTCCCATCAGTGTCATATAAACACATATGAAAACACAAAGGTCAGTTAGGTTTTTGAACTGGGGAAATAAACTGTTGTGAAGAATACCACACTAAGGGTAGGTTCACTCCTTTGCCTTCCATTTTCAGTTTTGCAGAAACGCACTACAGTCCATTTACCATGCTTTCCTATGGGTCACGTTTACATCTGTGCGTTTTCAACTGGTGCGTTTTTTTTAAAGGGTCAAGGAATTTGTTTCCCGCAGCAGGTTGCATTTTTGCTTCCATAACTTCAATGGAAATGCAGCAGAAAAACATAAAAAATGCATGAAAATGCAGTGTTTGCATTTTTGGTGCGTTTCCGCTGTGTTTTTGCTGGTTTCTCCTGCATGACAACAGAAACCTCCCAAAAAGACGCAAAACACATCAAAAATGCATATAAAAAAAAAGGAAAACGCACCAACTGCAACCTGCATGGGTGTGAAATTAGGAAAACTCAGGATAAAAATGCATACTCCTTGCAGACAGAGATACTTATTGGAATTGTATAAGGGAGATCAAAACTGCAAAACATGAGTGCTGACCTTCATTATGGGCGTAACTGGAGTCTGAACTTTAAAAGTTCAATGAGGCATTATAGCACAAATGATGTGTAAAATATACTGTATATGTGCCTAATTATATATACAGTATATAATATATATATATATATATATATATATATACACACACACACACACTATATTGCCAAAAGTATTGGGGCTCCTGCCTTTACACACACATGAACTTTAATGGCATCCCAGTCTTAGTCCGTAGAGTTCGATATTGAGTTAGCCCACCCTATGCAGCTATAACAGCTTCAACTCTTCTGGGAAGGCTGTCCACAAGGTTTAGGAGTGTGTCTATTGGAATGTTTGACCATTCTTCCAGAAGGGCATTTGTGAGGTCAGACACTGACATCGGACAAGAAGGCCTGGCTCGCAGACTCCGCTCTAATTCATACCAAAGGTGTTCTATCGGGTTGAGGTCAGTACCATGTCCAGGCCAGTCAAGTTCCTCCACCCCAAACGCGCTCATCCATCTCTTTATGGATCTTGCTTTGTGCACTGGTGCGCAGTCCTGTTGGAACAGGAAGGGGTCATCCCCAACTGTTCCCACAAAGTTGGGTGCATGAAATTATCTAAAATGTCTTGGTATGCTGATGGCTTAAGAGTTCCCTTCACTGGAATTAAGAGACCAAGCCCAACCCCTGAAAAGCAACCACACACCATAATCCCCCCTCCACCAAACGTTATTCTTGGCATAATGCAGTCAAGCAAGTACCGTTCTCCTGGCAACTGCCAAACCCAGACATGTCCATTGATTGTTAGACAGAGAAGCATGATTCGTCACTCCAGAGAACACATCTCCACTGCTCTAGAGTCCAGTGCCGGTGTGCTTTACACCACTGCATCTGACGCTTTGCATTGCACTTGGTGATGTAAGGCTTGGATGCAGCTGCTCGGCCATGGAAACTCATTCTATGAAGCTCTGTATGCACTGTTGTGCTAATCTGAAGGCCACACAAAGTTTGGAAGTCTTTAGCTATTGACTCTGCAAACAGTGGGCGACTTCTGCATACTGTGTGCTTCAGCATGCGCTGACTCCGCTCTGTCATTTTACATGTCCTACCACTTTGTGGCTGAGTTGCTGTTGTTCCAAGTTGCTTCCACTTTGTTATAATCCCACTAACAGTTGACTGTGGAATATTTAGTAGCAAGGAAATTTCATGGATGGACTTATTGCACAGTTGGCAACCTATCAGGGTACCACGCTTGAATCCATTGAGCTACTGAGAGCGACCCATTCTTTCACAAATGGTTGTAGAAGCAGTCTGCATGCCTAGCAGATTTTATACACCTGTGGTCATGGAGGTGATTGGAACACCTGAATCCAATGATTTGGAGGGGCGTCCCAATACTTTTGGCAATACAGTGTGTGTGTGTGTGTGTGTGTGTATATATATACATATATATATATATATATATATATATATATATATACCAACAGCCAGGGGTGGACTGACCATTTGGAAACTCGGGCACTGCCCAAGGGCCCGGGGTCAGTAGGGGCCCCATGAGATGCCCCTGGTACCTTTTTCATAGGCTTTTTTGAGTTTGAGCAAGGACACAGGGACCCCATGATCCCCTATTGCCCGGGGGCCCCATGAGTTGTCAGTCCACCCCTGCCAACAGCTACTTAGAAGATCCCAGCAGCCTAAAATGGCTAGGAACATGCTTTAGAAGGAGAAGCAGTACATAGATTTATTAAAGATGGAAACCTTAGCATTTGTACAGATGGATTCATTTTTACATGCATATTTATGGGGGGAATGACACGCTCTTTATGCATGGTGGTAGCTTGTATTTTACCTTTACTTGTCTGTTCATGTAAAGCCAGCCATTAGTTCAGTTTTGCAGGAACATTTTATGGGGTTATTTGCAAAACTGTAAAGCAGTCGCTGATCATATTGCTATTTCTGCAATGATTTGCCTACAGACATCTTTCTACCTGAAATGAAACATATAGGCATTCCTAGTTTTCTGTCCTGTGCTATGTGAATAATGACACACAGCTTCTTGGAGGTATTCCGGGGGCTTGTATTTTATCATCTTATTTTGTTGACTGGTATATCAGTGACATCTAAATTATTTCACTCAAACTAACAGAAAGGACACATTTTTTAGTGGAAAATGTTAAGTCCTTCATTGTTGTTAATTAAATTGTTAAAAAATGCTGATGCTGATAGTAAATGTAAAACATATACAGTACAATACATTTTTTTCTATTTTACTCTTTCAATATATCTGTATTGTAACATCAAACTGACTGAAATTTTAATAATTTATTTTGATTTCTACATAAAATCTTTTTTTTTTAATTTTTTTTTAAATTTTCCCTAATACAGGTGAAACTCGAAAAATTAGAATATCGTGCAAAAGTTCATTTATTTCAGTCATGCAACTTAAAAGGTGAAGCTAATAAATGAAATAGACTCATTACATGCAAAGCAAGATAGTTCAAGCTGTGATTTGTCCTAATTGTAATGATTATGGCTTACAGCTCATGAAAACCCCAAATCCACAATCTCAGAAAATTAGATTATTGTGAAAAGGTGCGATATTCTAGGCTCAAAGTGTTCCACTCTAATCAGCTAATTAAGCCATAACACCTGCAAAGGGTTCCTGAGCCTTTAAATGGTCTCTCAGTCTGGTTCAGTAGGAATCACAATCATGGGAAAGACTGCTGACCTGACAGTTGTACAGAAAACCATCATTGACACCCTCCATAAGGAGGGAAAGCTTCAAAAGGTAATTGCAAAAGAAGTTGGATGTTCCCAAAGTGCTGTATCAAAGCACATTAATAGAAAGATATGTGGAAGGGAAAAGTGTGGAAGAAAAAGGTGCACAAGCAGCAGGGATGACCGCAGCCTGGAGAGGATTGTCATGAAAAGGCCATTCAAAAGTGTTGGGGACTTTCACAAGGAGTGGACTGAGGCTGGAGTGAGTGCATCAAGAGCCACCACACACAGACGGATCCTGGACATGGGCTTCAAATGTCGTATTCCTCTTGTCAAGCCGCTCCTGAAACAACAAAAAATGTTAGAAGCGTCTTACCTGGGCTAAAGAAAAACAGATCTGGTCTGTTGCTCAGTGGTCCAAAGTCCTCTTTTCTGACGAGAGCAACTTTTGCATCTCATTTGAAAACCAAGGACCCAGAGTATGGAGGAAGAATGGAGAGGCACACACTGCAAGATGCTTGAAGTCCAGTGTGAAGTTTCCACAGTCTGTGTTGATTGGGGAGCCATGTCATCTGCTGGTGTTGGTTTACTGTGCTTCATTAAGTCCAGGGTCAACGCAGCCGTCTACCAGGAGATTTTGGAGCACTTCATGCTTCCTTCCGCAGACGAGCTTTATGGGGATGATGACTTCATTTTCCAGCAGGACTTGGCACCTGCCCACACTGCCAAAAGCACCAAAACCTGGTTCAATGACTGTGGGATTACTGTGCTTGATTGGCCAGCAAACTCGCCTGACCTGAACCCCATAGAGAATCTATGCGGCATTGCCAAGAGAAAGATGAGAGACATGAGACCGAACAATGCAGAAGAGCTGAAGGCCACTATTGAAGCATCCTGGTCTTCCATAACACCTCAGCAGTTCCACAGGCTGATATCTTCCATGCCACGCCACATTGAGGCAGTAATTGCTGCAAAAGGGGCCCAAACCAAGTACAGAGTACATATGCATGCTTATACTTTTCAGAGGTCCGATATTGTTCTATGTACAATCCTTGTTTTATTGATTGGGTGTAATATTCTAATTTTCTGAGATTGTAGATTTGGGGTTTTCATGAGCTGTAAGCCATAATAATCACAATTATGACAAATCACGGCTTGAACTATCTTGCTTTGCATGTAATGAGTCTATCTCATATATTAGTTTCACCTTTTAAGTTGCATTACTGAAATAAATTAACTTTTGCACGATATTCTAATTTTTCGAGTTTCACCTGTACTTACTTAAGCAGTTGAACATTTACTAGTCTTATTTGATATGATTTCTATTAGTTCTTTTGTGACTGCTGACATTTTTTGACGCAATTTAAGTCACATTCATATACAAGAGCAAAAGGCAATGTTATAGAGGGATTCCAGGAAAATATACTGTATAAAAACACAAATTAATCCATTATGTTTAGAATAAAATTATTAAGGACCCATTTACAGCTTTCAGGTATGTTAATGCATGTTATGTTGTATATATTGCGTGTTTTGCTAAGGCAAAGTGTTAAAAATAATGGTCTTTCAATGCACCAAAACATCCTGGATATGTCACACAATTTGTAATGCAGCATACCTTATGGTGCATTGCCAAGCATGCATTGCACTCAAAATTAATGACACAACAACACATGTAACATGTGTTACCTCAATGCAAAGATGTTAATGGGCCGTAATGTATTTTTACATATCGCACAACCAGTATATGTACCCAAATCCCTTTTCCTTTTTTGCTTCTTGTAATGCCCTGCAAAGTAGCTGAAGGAAGGGCAGCTTGCTGAGCCAATCAGGACTTCGCCCAATGCTTGTTTTCCTAACACTAAATATGTTTAGGACACAGGGCAGCATTATGCCCAGCATTGCCCAGCAAGAAGGCAAGGGGAGAAAAAATGGTTTAATAAGCAGAAGAGAGCACCATTAATGTGATTTGGAGGTGTGGGGGTGTTAAGCTGCGCATATGTAGGATATATTGTAATAATCCCTTCTTAAAATAAGTTTTGATGGTCATTGATAGAGTTTAATTGGAATATGGAATAGCAAAAAAATAATATTTCCTTTCCTAGTTTTGAACTGATCCAAACAGCTGTTGCTTTCTTTTTTTATGTATTTGATGCAAACACATACCTGTATTAGATGAGTCTGCTCTTCGTATGTGTTTATGTACTTTTAAAAACTTAAGGACTTACCTCAGACAAGCTTCACTTAATCTTGTATTACTCTGTATCCTATATGTCTCAGTTTAAAGAACATGTTTCTCTTTGTATTGCTTCCTTTGTGTGAAATACCTGATATCCTGCCAGCCCTCCTGCTTTCCTATTTCAAACTGACTATGTTAGGCATGAGAGCACATCTATCTCAGCGTAGTCAGTTTTCTGGCTGTGCTGGGGGTGCAGCCTGCCTGTCCTCCAATGGCCAAGACTTGTGCTGACACCCCCCCCCCCACCCACAGCCATTTACTGGGAAGATCAGCGTACTGCTGCTTCAGAACAGAGAATATAGGTTATGTGATCATAATTAAAAAGGTACTCTCTCTCTCTCTCCAGTGGGAAAAAAAATATGTTGATCCCCTGCAGATTTTGTATGTTTGCCCACTTACAAAGAAATGAAGGGTCTATAATTTTTATCTTAGGTGTATTTTAATTGATAGAGACAGAATATCAACCACAAATCCAGAAAAAAACACATGATACAAATGTTTTAAATTGAGCTGCTGTTCAGTGAGTAAAATAAGTATTTGATCCCCTACCAACCAACAATACTTCTGGCTCCCACAGACTGGCTATGTGCTCATGTAGTACACAGATTAGTCCTGTCAATTTAAGAAGGTGATCCTAATGTGTATAAAAGACACCTGTCCACAGAATCTCTTTCTTGGGTGCCATCATGGAAAAGACCAAAGAGCTGTCAAAGGAGGTCAGGGACAAGATTGTAGACCTACACAAGGCTGGAATGGGCTACACGACCATCAGTAAGAAGCTTGGTGAGAAGGAGACAACTGTTGGAGCTATTATTTGCAAATGGAAGAAATACAAAATAACCATCAATCGCCCTTGGTCTGGAGCTCCATGCAAGATTTCGTCTCATGGGGTAAGAAAGATCATGAGAAAAGTGGGGGATTAGCCCTGAACCACACGGGAGGAGCTTGTTAATGATCTCAAGGCAGTTGGGACCACAGTCAACAAACAAACCATTGGTAACCCAATACACTGCCATGGATTGAAATCCTGCAGTGCCTGCAAGGTCCCCCTCTTCAAGAAGGCACATGTATAGGCCTGTCTGAAGTTTGCCAATGAAAATCTAAATGAGAAGGATTGGGAGAAAGTGCTGTTGTCAGATGAGACCAAAATAGAGCTCTTTGGTGTTAACTCGACTTGCTGTGTGTGGAGGAAGTAAAATGTTCACTATGACCCTAAGAACACCATCCCTACAGTCAAGCATGGAGGTGGAAACATTATGCTTTGGGGCTATTTCTCTGCTAAAGGTACAGGCCGACTTTGCTGCATTGAGGGGCCAATGGACGGGGCCATGTATTGTAAAATGCTGGATGAGAACATTCTTCCCTCAGCCAAAACACTGAAGATGGGTTGTGGATGGACCTTCCAGCATGACAATGACCTAAAAGATACTGCTGAGGCAATAAAGGAGTGGGTGAAGAAGTAGCACATTAATTCATTGCCTAGCCAATCTTCAGACCTTGATCCTAAATAAAATTTATGGAGGGAGCTA